AAATAGACACATTATTATAAATATATAACTACATTTGGACACAAAATGTGTTCCCCAAATTATGGCGCACTGCAATCGTTATACCAATACCCAAACCAAATACATACAAATTAAAATCTACAAACTATAGGCAGATATCGTTAACCAACATTGTGTGTAAATTAAACCCATATAAAGAAACTTATGTCGTCGAATGCAAAAACGACTAAATATTCTAAAATATTTAGCAAACAAGAACTGTGGGTCCAATAAATCAAGTGTTTTACGAACTTATAGAACAATTATTTTGTAGCGTCGTATCGCTACAAAAACGGAGACAAATACGTGGCACTCGGTGGGCATCGCCGGATGTTGAACAAAGGGCGGAGTGATGACGCACTGGGACTTTCCGTGGACGTAGCGTGGACAGGGCGGCGGTGGAGAGGAGGCAATGGGGGCGGCGGGTAGCGTCAAAGGGCATATATAAGGCCAGGAGAACAATGCCCCAGTCTTCTTGTTCTAGCGACGTCGGCGACAGGTGATGCGCGTGTCTGTGCGAGTAGGTGCACTAGGGCGAGGGGCCGGCAATTTATCGTCGTGACTTGCGAGACGCGTAGATGGTCTCGAGATAGTGCGGTGCTTCACGCAGGGAACGTCGGTAGTATGTTGCTGTGTGGTAGTTCGTAAATCATCTCTCCTTGTAGTGGGTCTATTTATTTAGTTTATTGTAAGCAGGGTAGTTGTTTAATTGAGACTACGGTCTAGATTGTGAATAAATCTACTGTTTTACAAACCACTCTCGTCTGTGTTCGTTTACACCCGTATGACGCCACATTTCGATCTAAAGTCGACTATGGAAGCATCCTATATTCTTCAGCCAGCAAAAACAGTCTTCAAAAAATTGATGTGATTCATAACCAAGCCCTACAAATTGGTAGTGGGTGTTTCCGCACTTCTTCTGTAGGAAGCATCTTAATCGGAGCTCAAGAACAATCTCTCACTCATCGACGAAAATATCGCCTACCCTATCACAATATGCCATCGAGCTTCTACTTCAAGAATCCCATTAATAAGAAATGATATATATCCAAAATTTGTAAACACAAATAATGATAATCTATGGACTGGAATTATCTATAAAAAAGTAAAGCATTAGGTTATGTAATGTCAAAGATGGAAAGAGAGAAATACTCCTGTATTCCACCATGGATTATTTCTAGCATTACGACTGACTCAACCCTCTGTGAACATAAAAAAGAGTTTATCACAAAATGATCGGAAAGGAAAAAAATGGAAAAATGAGACTAAAATACATAGATTATTATCATATTTATACTGATGGTGCAAAGAACAATAATGATGTTAGAGCTGCCATATATTACTGTGGTAACAGTCTAAATTATACTCTTCATTCTTTAACATCAGTTGAAAAAGAATAATTGTATGCCACATTAGCCACGAAAATAACTTCATTAATACAAAAATTTATGTTATACTTACTGATTCATTATATATTTTCGAATACAACAATAACATTAAAATATCAGAATTATTAAATCATATTCATGAAATATATTTTAATGAATCTAAATTGGGAAAAATATTATTTTTTGGATGCCAGCACATAAAGATAGACTTGGTAATGATATCGCTGATCTCGAAGCTAAGAGAGCCACAACAAAAGAACACCAAAACCATCTATCCAGAAAAGAGTTAAAGATATTTGGAAATTCATTAAGAAAAAAATAAATATACAATGACATGAATCGTGGCAAATGGAAAATCAAGCAAAACTCATAAAAATACTACTTATTTTTTGGACTGAACAAATGAAAACTCCAATGCAATTTATCAAGATTTCAAGAAAAAGTAATACACATTTGCAAAAGTATTGATATTTTGACTGAATTGTAATGGAATTTTATTAATGTATCAGTCGCTCATGACCTCTATTACTTATGAGACTTAAAATAAAAATAATTTAAAAAAGTAATTATTGTAAAAATTACATAATTGAAATGAATCATTTTAATTATTAACATCCTAACTCTAAAATTTTTCCTTTTTCTTGTAAATTTGATTCCTAACGGCCATGCGGTAAGATTTGTTGCGTCTATACACGCAAGACGTCTCCTAACTCCTAAGAGCGTTGGGCGTACCCTGGAGTAACCCTCCGTTAATTACTACTGTAGGAGTAATCCTTTATTATGCACCCAGCACACTCTAGGGGCCGTTTAATAGTCAAGTCACGTCAGTCGCAGTCAAGTCAGGAAATCGCCAATAGGTAGCGTCTACTCGCGCCCTGCGTCATCTACCCATCGGCGACAATTGGGAAGGAATAAGGGTAGGGGTAAGGTACAGGACGCCTCACAAGGGTTGGACTAGCCCCTTTGAAGCACGCTAACTAGTTTTGTCACAACAAATTTCACATGTTCCACGGGGATCCTACGGTAATCGAACCCGGAACCTCGGTGGCAACCTCGAAAGGCAAGCGACTTAGCCACTAAGGCACAAGAGATGGCCTACGTATTGGTTTTACTCCTCGTGCAATTTCTTCGAAATGTCATTGTGAACTTAGGAATCTTAAAATGACACCAGTGAACACGAAATATTATTTTTCGTTCTTCGCCGTTGTGTAATCGCCAGCACTGGAAAGTGCGTATCGTATTCAGAAATACGCCCTCAAAAGGGATTGCAGGCCATACTCAAAAGTAAGATTCCTGTTATACAGAGTTCCAGATAATCCAACTTGATTCAGATCGGTGCCAGGAGAAAAAAAAGCAAAATATTAATGGAAACGGCAGAAAAGGGCAACAACAGAAAAAAATAAGTTAAAGTAGACAAAAAAGGCAAAATTAATATCTACTAAAAAACTCTTAGAAGTACAAGTAAGCGATTACTATTGTTAAAAGTTATAAAATAGTAATTAAAAGTAACAAAAAGGCATTTTGCCAAAATTTCGGGTTCTGATTATTACAATGGTTTGGGATATGTAGTAAGCATATTCTGCAAACAAGTATGTTTCGAGAATAAGATCTATTGCTCGAAAAAAGAGAACAAATCATTAATTTGAATATAAGGTCTATTAAAACACGACAAAAACAGTCATTGCTTTATTTAGGCAGTCTAACCAACTGTACAATTTAAATAGTCACACTGTGCGCATATATCTTTATGTTAACACATAAAATTCTATGTAGTTGCACAATAACATCACTTCTTCAAATTGAAGATCACTTATCGGTAAAAATACTTTTTATTTATATTTCAAGCTGATAACAGATGCAAGATACTCATTCGTTGATACAGAAGTAACAATTCACAACATTTTCAAAATCTCAATTGACTTCAATGTATCGAACGTCTTATGAAATGGTGTACACAATATATAGTTTAATATTTTACACATTATTGCATTAACACGGAAAAGAGACAACCATTTTATTATTATATCACCTCATAAAAAACATTCATTTTCATTATGTGTATATTCAATTTCATTTACAAAATTGTAAATGTATATTTAATATCCAACATTTCAATGAGAAGTTTATTCAAAACAAAACCCAGCTAATGCCAGTAAAAAACAAATTGAAACTGACATAAATAGTTTTCAGAATATTACATTATCGCTTTCAGTTACATTACCGCTCTCAGAATTGAATCCCATGAATCTCTCTCGAATATCATTGACACGAAAATAACCTTCTACAATTTCACAAATGTTTTCTCAAGTTATTACACAAGTATTTCAAGTTTATTGACGCGTACATAATAATTTTGGAGAAAGAGAGACACTTTGTTGCAGTTCTCGACAACATCCCAAAGGAAACTGAAAATATGTTTGTACATTCTGAAAGAATAGGAAGAATTAAAAATGCAAATTCTAAATGTTTGAAAAAGCGGAAAATTTGCAGGCCTCTCGTAATAATAAGCTTAGTATTAATAACAGTAATTCTAATAACGAGCTTGCACATCGTAAATCTTTGAGCTTGGGAGCGAGTAGAGGGTGTCTAAATATGATTGTGTTAATGGACGAATGGAACAACTACACTCTAAAGTTCGGAGCTTGCCCTGGAATACACCTTGCAATATACGTGAACAAAACTAAATATGATTTTTCCTATCCCGGTAATCAACTTGTTTTATCACAAAATCGACTCAATACCACAAGCTCCCCGTTTCCAATTAGCAAAAAAGGATCCTATGTGGTTTTGATTCAGCTTCTCTTCGCAAGTCTCATTCCTAAAAATAATTCTCAACCAGTGATGATTTTCTAAAGAAATTATTATTTTAAAACTCTGTAAAAAATTACATAACAATGCCTTGCCCTAAGGTTGTACACCAGTTAGCAAATAAATTTAAAAATTTAACAACGCAGATCTTCGATCATAATTAATAAACTACCAAATTAAACATTTCACAATTGGAAGTTAAAATGTTTAGTACTGCAATTAAGAAATAAAGAAAATTCTTCTAAATTATAACAAATGAATAAAAACAATTTGGTCAATACATATTATTATCAATACATTAATATTGTACACTTTTTAAAGTAAACTGGAAGGCAGATATAATTAACAATCGAAAGGCAAGAATTATCAAACATTTACATTTTAGAAAGGCCTAAAATATTTTTTAATAAATGATTTGTTGTGTTTTTGAAGAAACAGCTTGAATTTAATCTGTTTCAAAGTTCAAACTTTTATTTAAAAGAAATATCTTTATTGTTAGGAATATAATTAAAATAAAATCACAAAATAGGTAAAATTTTTTTGGCAAAATTATGGATTTCAAATATATTTTAGTTCTGTACATTAAATGGAGGGCATTCCTCCAGGCCCTTTGAAGTCACTCTTTCTGCGAGCAACATTCTGCTCTCAAAGGGACATCGCAGCAGGTGCAGAACGTAATATGACCTGATTTTTTTCTATAGAAAGGTATTCACTACTTATGTGCGCTGAAAAAATAGCTGTCTCGCACCGGAAGTTACTGAAAAATATATAAAGAATTTGGTCAGTTCTGGCTCGCTGTTTCCGTTACCATCATGGACAGACCTTGCTGCAGCGAACGACTCACATATTGCTGTCATTGTTCACTAGCATCTGTACTTACCGGTTATGTCTAAGAGTTTGTTGGGCGGAAAATAATAGTTCATTTCGGGGAATATAGAGTCCTGGTATACTAAGTCTGTGGATTTATTTTGTGAATTTGATAAGTTACTAGGGACCTTACATTATTATTTTAATAATATCATTAATTTAATCATATTAAATTAATTATTTATCATATTAAATTAATTTTTTTAAATTTATAATTTATTTAGATTTAAATTAAAAATGCCATATTGGCAAAAATCGAGCTTTATCATTAGCACTTGCTGTCAATGCTGCATATTCGTCAAGGCGGCATAGAGCGGCCCCCGACGGCGATGATACGTTTATAGTTTATAATAATAGAAATCAACCAATTATTGACTTCCGAGTCACTCAGGACCCTCTTACCGAACGAAACAATCAAGTCATAGTCACAGTCATAGTCATTTTACTGTTTTCGAGCCAATTCACATTGACACCAGCATGGATAATGATCAAAATGACTTAACGGGCGTACTACAAACACATACAGCTGAACCATCATACGGAGATGTCTCTGTATCAAAATAACAGAAGGTCCACAAATAATGTTAACTACACTTGCACGCCGCGAGCATACTTTGACACATCGGGTTTCTGTTCCTCAATGTGGACGAACTTGTGTTCGGAAGCGCTAGGGCGTTGCACCGCGCGGGGTTGTGAAGGGCATGAGAAATGTCATTGCCTTAGTGCTTCGCTGCTCTGAATTGGAACTCGTGCCCTCAGAAGCCCTTACTCCCTTGGCGGGCATTGCCTCACTAAAGGCAGGGCTGCACAAACGACACAGGAACGACAATTGCGTCGTGAAAATAGTGGAATTTTTTAAATAACTTTTAGTGTGTGACGACAACTATATTTTCACAGCACATATAAATAGTAAATATCTATCTATAGAAAAAATGAGGCCCAATTTCGTCGTGTACCTCTTGAAAGGTCCTTTGTGATGACATTGTCCCCAGACACTGCTTCGGTGAGCACTGAACGTTATTCAGAAAGCTAAAAATACAACTTACTATTATTTTTTTTTCTGGTGATTATTTCTTCAGCAGTTCAGAAAAATAGACAATTTGCATTTTGATTTCTTCCGTATAAGAAACAAGAAATTACATTCATAACAAAGAAGCATTCAAATTGATGTTCAATTAAAAAAATGACACCTTCGCTATACCTTCAAGTTCTATTCATGATTCGATTAGGCATAATGGTGACGTAATATACATTTGTTTAATTTAGACATTTCACATGTGGTAAGTATACGCACGTCCGTAACTACACAATGATGACTATCAAACGCTAGATCAGCGACCATTCCCAACAAAATAAGTCTTGATTACGGTCATCACCTTTCATATTCACTCAGGGGCTTTTCAGATCCCGAGTCCACATGGCCCGAACGGAAACCTCCATTGCAATCGGCGCGTTGAGTCCCGCCCGCTCGGCGGTTGGTCCCAGGACGCCAAGGCACTCGCGAGGGGCTTGGGGTGAGGGCAGGCGAGGGGTGCGGTGGGACGCCTATTCCTCTTCGTCCTCCTCGTCGGCCGCCGCCGCCGCCGCCACCGTCGGCTTCGCGTCCGCTCCGTCAAGGTCCTCCGCGATGGCGCGACACAGGCATACCGTCAGCACCAGCCCCAGCAGCTGCGCAAGAGACAATTGGAGCATTACACCCAGGCACACCGTCAGCACCAGCCCGGGAAGCTGCGCTCGAGACAATTGAAGCATTACACCCAGGCACACCGTCAGCACCAGCCCGAGAAGCTGCGCTACAGACAATTGGAGCATTACAACCAGGACACCGTCAGCACCAGCGCGAAAGCTGCGCTCGAGACAATTGAAGCATTAACACCCAGGCAACACGTCACACCAGCCCGAGAAGCTGCGCTACAGAACAATTGGAGCATTACACCAGGCACACCGTCAGCACCTGCCGAGATGCTGCGCTAGAGACAATTGGAGCATTACACCAGGCATACGTCAGCACAGCCCGAGAAGCTGCGAACAGACAATTGGAGCATTACACCCAGGCACACCGTCAGCACGCCGAGAACTGCGCTAGAGACAATTGGAGCATTACACCCAGGCACACCGTCAGCACAGAGCCGAGATCTGCTGCAGAAGAATTTGGAACATTACACCCAGGTACAACGTCAGCTTCAGCCCCAGTAGTGCAAAATGAAACAATTGGAGCAATAGCAGCACTTCAGCACAGATCCAGCACTGCACGAGAGCATTGTTGAGCATTACACTCAGGCAATGTCTGCACCAGCCTCAGACGCTGTACAAAAGCCATTTTATATAAATAAATGTATGGTTTTCAGATGTCTTACATCATTCAGTGAAAACACTTTACATATGTATTTTCAGACTTACGCTAGATAAAAAACTAAGCTAACTCAATCTACACAATGAATAGGATTCTCTACGGAAAACCTCGGGGTTATGCATCATGATTGGCTAAGATTTTGAGGAAGGCTTCGAACGGCAATCCATTTTTTATTTGAGTATGGTTTGGGTTTTTCTCTAATTTGAAATTGAAACACAAGAACCAATTACTTTTCCATGGTGGAAAGGGAATGAATTTCGCAAGGAGTTGTATCATACACACGCAGATTGGACATGAAAATTAATTTCGTGACTGTAGATCTGCAACGACCCCTCCAGTATTATTACTTCTAGGCTGTCTGGGTGATGTATGTAATGTCATATATAATGTAATGTATATAATAATATGTAATGTATGTAAGTAATGTACTCGAGCCGCGGAAGCCTACGTGTACAGACCCCTCCAGTATGTCCGTGAAAATTTCAGATTCCCAAAATTACAGAGTTTAACCATTACAAGGGAAAATAAGTAATGCACTCTTAGTGCACCCGCGTAAATGTTTGATTGTACCTATCAGCTTCGTAGGAACTGTCCAGAAATATTGATTTTGCTTTTAATTATTTTTCTCTTAATATTATTTTAAAATAAATTATATTACAATTGTTTTTTTTGTGTATATATACCTTATATTATTTGAAATGCATATATTAAAATTACACGTTTTAATGATTTCAAGGACTACATTTCAAGACTAAGTCTATCAAGGGCAAAGGAAAGCACATGATTTCAAGGATACATCTTTAATGGTTTACAGTTAAAAATATCGTGCATTAATTTAAAAATGCAACCAAATTTAAAATTATAGAAAGAATAGCGCAAGTCATTGACAACCTCCAACTATCTAGACGCACAATTTAAAAGTTGGAGGTATCTGGAAGGCTGTATCAATCAATGCCCAGATATAAACTCATATTGTAAATAATACACCATTTGATATTAAACTTAAGGTGTCTCTTCTCTAAGATATTCAATACGTAAACATCATTTGAGCAACATTCTCACGTACCGAAGTGAAGTCAAAGCGTACCGAATTTTTCTAATGGTAACAAATTATTTTTATTACTCAAAGGTGAAAATTAGTTTTATTATTTTTTGGTTAGGAATTGTTTTTATTGAGATACGCAAGAACGCAGATAATAATCCAATATTTTTTGGCATACAAATAATTTTTCAATTTTCGCACAGTAGCAAGCTGGCGCTCTGCTCCTCCAAAGCCACCTCTATTCCTCATAACAAATCAAGGAAAGTTAAATAATATCGCAAAGAGTAGGGTTGCACTTGAGCGATCCTGTATTTTCGTATGGAAATCTATTCTTGGCTTTCTGAAGAGTAAGAATCTTTCCTAATATTTTGTGACTATCAAGGAAAGAGAAAAGCTAACTATCTAGGATTTTCAAATATTTTTAAGGAAGTGTGAACTGTTCGAAGAACATATCTCTATGTTACTAAATGAACATTTATTGAAAATTTGTTTCCAACTTAAATTGGCAAGACGTGCCATGGTCTCCGAGCTGTGAAGACGTATTTCCTAAGCGCTCCGAGGATCACTGCAGGTAGTTTTGTTCAGCAATAGGACCGTTTGTGAAGAGCGCCGCACACAACGCAAGAGTATGTTTGGTATAAGTTAGCTTAGTTTCCATTGTATTATGACGCAGTCTGCCTGGTGGGTTTAACCCGACTAGCGGGTTTTCCTCCGGGATCGAACGGCGGGTCTTTCTGTAGTAATAGATGACAGTCGCTTGGGGTAACTACCAGGCTGCCGCGTAGCGCGCAGATATGTACAGCTCATAATATCTTATGTAATTAAAATTTTGTTTTCAATCTCTGTCTCTTAATTTTAAAATTATTTCAAACATATTTTTGTATTCATTTAACCTCTGATGTTATCTATTTACAAGTTGCTTTAAATTATGTTTGCTTTCCACTAACTATTTACTACTTGTATAGTATATTACATTTACATTTTGTAGATTACATTACTTTTTTCAACTAATTTGTATATTTGTGACATGTGGTTAGGCGGAATGCCTGATGTCCCGAGCATCTCCATTTCAATGAAGGTATTATATTATTATTATTATTATTATTATTATTATTATTATTATTATTATTATTATTATTATTACCATTATTATTATTATTGTTAATAGCATTATTTTTATTTTCGTTTGATTTTGTGTATATACGAAGTTACATATATACATTTTTTAAACAAATAAACACGTTTCATTAACAATTTTCCTTCTCAATGGAAGGGATAGGGAAAATGAGGGGATTAATATGCGAGAGTTCGAGAATTATCGCACGGGTACACTAGTATTTTTACACGTATCTATATTTTTTGTTAACCCAATTTTGCATTTCGTATTTTGTGATTTCATTTGCTACTAGTCTCTAAATTGACACATCCGTTGAATTTCTTATTTTGTAATTCTATTTGCTGATTATTAAAATTTTACATGTGTCTATTATTTATATCAATCCCTCCAATCCGTAATTTTTGTATTTGCTAGGTATTTTATTTATATTTCATTTTGTTTATATTTGTGGACGGATGATGACAAAACCATCGAAAGTCAGCTCTGTCACTAAATATATTAAGTTGACGGTGGTGACTTCTTTTATTTCTGCATGTAAATACATCAACAATACCGCAACAGAATTCCTACATTTCATGTGTGTTGTTTGCAGTCTGGAGGTCCTATGCCTACCCAGCCGCGCGTAGCGTCCGCTTCCACTTGGCTCAAGACTCCTGCCAGGCGGAATTCAGCAGGGCCACCTTCACCCTCACCCTCACCCATTTGCACCGGCTACGTCAGTGGAAATGTGTGTGGTGGTGCCTCCGGCAGCCCCCGGGTGTCTGGCGGCGTGCAGGTGGGCGTTGCGTCCAGGGGCCATTGCTCACAAAGAAAGCCAGCTGTCTACGCCAACGCGATCAACGTCCTCTCTTAGATCACCTCTGTCATGGGCGTCGAAGCCAAAGGCAAAGGCTTCACTCGTCCGTTTTAACGTAGTGACCTAATCCAAAACTCACTGTACTTGCTCTAGAGTATTTTTCTACATTAGCTCCACTATGTGAACTAAAATTAGTCTAATATAAATATATTAATATTTCTCTTGTGCAAAGGTAATTATAAGAATTCCTGTTATTTTTTTTTAAAATAGCACATATTTCACAAATTATTGCGCGCAAACTACTGAAATTAAAAAGAAATGTACATGAACTTAATGAATAAACTAAATATGAAAAACAAATTGCATTAAAAAATCTCTATCTTCAATTTTAAATTTGTAGGGAGACAAGAAAAGAATCAAACTTTAGAACAGTGAAACAGTAAATTTCAGACCTAAGCCTAACTGTATTTTACACTATTTCTTGCAAGAAATATTACGAAAACATTTGTTGACGCTTTGAGAAAATTTTGTAACTCTTTTAGGTTAGGTTGGTTAGGAGCTTCATGCATAGTACCCCCAAATTTTAAAGAATGTTTTCCAAAATCTCAAAGCTTCGACTCGAACTAGATCGACAGACATTTCTTCAATTTGGTATGGTATAGGCGGTAGTGGTGTATTATATGGCGTATACTGGTAAGTAAAAATCGAAATGAAAAAAATACAGAAGTTACTTACTTAAGTAGAGTGGCGCAAATGCCATATTTAACTTAATTTTAAATATTACTTATATTTATGCGACGAAGAGAAGTGTATATGGTTGACCGCCATTGTTAAACTGGGTGTAGATAGATTACAGATCAAAAATATCTTGGGATTAAAGGAGGGATTAATTTAACAAACACGATCAAAATGGTGCTTTTTTACAACAGAAGTAAAATCAAAACCACGTAGTTTATAATGATAAAAGTAGCACTGTAAGGTAATATAATGTTTTGGGGGTTTAATGGTTGTAATTTCGTTTTGTTTGGTTTTGGGGGTTTAATGGTTTGTAAATTAAAGTTTCTACGGATATCGTTTAGGAATCTGTGAATTTATCTAGTGGTGCCACGTGCTCACCTTTTAAAGCCAATCGGCTTTAGCATAATAATAGTATATAATGCAACAAGATTTTAATCTTAAAGTTTATTGCCTGAGTACAGGTTTTTTAATTAAATATCTGCCTGGTCACATTTCTGTCTTTCAAGGCTTTTCATACGTATTTCTTAACATGAGATACAGTCAGCTAGCACATTTTCTTCTAAGGCTCTAAAACAATTATAATATTTTATAAGAATTACATAAGAAATATTATGCAATATTA